GCTGAGGGGCGAGCGCTGAGGGGCGAGCACTGAGGGGTGAGCGCTGAGGGGTGAGTGCTGAGGGGCCACCACTGAGGGGCCAGCACTGAGGGGTGAGCACTGAGGGGTGAGCGCTGAGGGGTGAGCGCTGAGGGGCCAGCAGGTGGGGGCCACGCTCGGACGCCAGGGCTCCACTGTCTTGGCCACACAGCCACGCCCCATTCTGTGCCTCAGCTTCCGGTCTGCAGAGTGGGGTGCCCCTGCAGGGAGAGTGTAACAGGCCCCGGCCAGGCCGTCCTCCTCAGAACTCCACGAGGCGACTCCAATGGCACCGGGGCGCAGCGCTGGGCAGGTGGGGAAACCGAGGCACAGAGACGGGAGGCCACAGGCCAGGCCTGAGGGAGCCGAGGTCCGGATGTGAGCGTGACTCCCGAGCCCAGGGCTTCAGGGGGCGCGGCAGGGAGGGGTGGGCACAGCTGTCTGAGGGCAGGCGTGGGGCTGGGAGACACCTTCTGCGGGGCGCCCCACGGGCAGGGCCTTCCACCCTACCATCCCCCAACCTTTCGGACCTCACGGACCAGTGGCCACGGACACCGGCTGGCGGCCGCTGCTCTAGGGGGCACTTCCCGCCGAGACAGTTACACACACGGAGAGTCACCGAGCGGCCTCCGCGTGAACCAACGGTGATCCGATGGGTCCTTCATCTCCAGGGAACCGAGTGAGCTCCCAGTACGTTCACCAGTCCCCTCGTGCCCAGACCCTCTGTCCCCGGCAAACCGAGGGCCCGAGGGACCCACGCACACCTGGGAGTCCTGGGCGACGTGCCCCGAGCTGTCGTCTGTGCGGAGGGCAAATGTGGGGGAGGGGGAGGGGGCCAGCGATCAGAGGCGCGTGTTGGCAGAGATGTTTAGTGACGGGCACCTGTGTGCTCACCCAGACACACGGGTCAAACGCCAGGCAAGTGTGACTCCCGGGCGTGCCACACTGACCACGCCCCAGGGCAGGGAGCATCAGTGTGTCGGTGATGAGGGCACAGAGCGAGTCTCATGTTCTCAGTGGAAAATGCATAACAGAGGGACGAAGGGTTATGACGCAGCCATAAAAGAGGAGGGAATCGGCCATTTGCGACAGCGCGGATGCACTTGCGGGCATTATGCTGCGTGAAGTGAGTCAGACAGAGAAACACACATCCCCTATGATCTCACTTATACGTGGACTCAAAACCCAGCTCCGACCAGAGGCGGCCTGGCGGCACCGAGGCTGCAGCCAGGCAGACACGTGGCTATAAAATAAAGTCCTGAGGGTGTCCAGTGACCAGTGACAGCTTGGTGACCAGTGAAGAAACGCACTGCGTGTTTGAAAGTTGCTAAGCAAGTACAGTAGGTCCTCGGGTGACGTGGGAGGTCCGTTCCTACGACGTAACGCGATTTCCGCCGTAAGTCGGAACCCCCCACAGAAGCGCCTACGTCACTCACATGGAGCACACGCACAGCAGTAATGAAGGGAAACAGTGAACAACAGTGTAAAGGAAGATAACAATCCCTGCCCTTTACGTGTGGTAAATAAATAATAAAAAACAAAGCACATATGTACACACGTCAAAATGACGGAACTTTTTTTTTAGAAATAAATGGGAGATGGTGACGGAACCACAAAACGACGTACTTTGAGTCCGATGTAACCCGAGGACCGTCTGTAGGTTCCTAAAAGCTCTCATTACAAGAAAAAAAAAGCTGTAACATGTGAGGTCATCGATGTTAACTAGCCTATTGCGGTGATCATTTACACACAGAATCATGTTGTCCGCCTGAAACTAATATAATGTTATATGTCAATTACACCTCAATCTAAAAGAAATGAATAGAAGGAAACACAGGGGTGTTAATAATGGTCGGTGTTAAGTGGCGGGGTTAGAAGAGGTTTTCATGTTAAATAAACGTTTATTTGGAATCATTTTAGATCCACAGAAGGTTGCAGAGTTCGCACAGCCCCGCCCACAGGCTCCTGCTACTCAGGCCTCCCTCAGCAGACACAATTGGATACAACGTTGCAACGAGGGCACTGACTTGGACACATGTCTGAGCGCCCGTTCCACCAGCTTTCCCACTCATGTCCCTCTCTGACCGGACCCAGCCCGGATCCCACATGACGGTTAGTCCTCCCGTCCCCTCAGGCCCTCTGGGCTGTGACCGCATCTCAGACGCTCCTTGCTCTTCATGACCTTGGCGTTTCTGAGGGACCCTGGTGAGGCATGTTGCAGGATGTCCCTCAATTTCGGTCTGCCTGACGTTTTTCTCGTGGTGACATCGGGGTTCTGGGTTTTGGGAGGAAGAGCATGGGGGGCAGAGCCATCCTCGTGGGACCATCCCCAGGGCACGTGCCGTCCGTGCGGCCTGTCCCCGGGACGCTGCCCTCGCGGGCTGGGCCGTGCAGCTCCGTGTTCTCCTCGGCCGGTTCCTCTTTGCCCCTCCCACTGTCCCTGTGGGAGGTCATGTCAGCACGGCCCACACCTGAGGAGTGCGGGTGGGCTCCCC